CACGGAGCAACTAGGTCGAGCTGTGGTTTATTATCAGCCATTTACCACCACTGACCTCCTTAACTGGAAACATTATACTCCCTCCTATTCCGAAAAACCACAGGCTCTGGTTGACCTTATGGAGTCCATTATGCAGACTCATCACCCAACTTGGTATGATTGTCAGCAGCTCCTACTTACTCTGTTCAACATGGAGGAGCACCGATGCATTATACAAGAGGCACACTGTCACCTGGAGATGACTGCCCCTGTGGGGACCCTAGACCCTATCCAGTGGGCCCGACTAGCAGCCCCTGAGACCCAGCCAGACTGGGACCACAACACAGACGAAGGACGAGTGGCCCTGGCCCGTTACCATGATGCATTACTCCGTGGAATCCGTGCTGGGGCACGGAGACCCACCAATACGTCCAAGGTGGCGAACGTTACTCAAAGGCCTGACGAGTGTCCAGGCGATTTTCTTGAGCGGCTGTATGAAGCCTACCGCATCTACACTCCTTTTGGTCTGGAGAGCCCCGACAACGAGTGGATGGTCAATATGGCCTACATGTCACAGTCAGCCTCGGACATCTGAAAGAAACCCCAGAAACTTGAGGGTTTTGCTGGGATGAATATAAGCCAGCTAGTCGACATTGCTAACAAGGTTTACAACAATAGGGAGGAAGTTGCCCAGAGGGAGACTCAGAAGAGGATGGAAAAGAAGGCGGCCCTTCTGGCTACGGCCCTCGGTGCCCTCCACTGGACAAGGAAGGTGAAAGAAGAAGGGAGGGAGCAGGGCACTGGAGAGTAGAGCGAGACCAGTGTGCTTATTGTAAGGAGAGAGGGCATTGGAAAAGGGAGTGCCCAAATCGGAAGAAAAAAATTCCTCAAGCAAAAGGAAAAGGGAGCAGCTCCCTCTATCCTCCACTTGGCTGGGCTGGAGTCAGACTGAGTAAGATCGGGCTCTCTGAATCTAGGCTCCCACGAGCCCATGGTCCAAATGAAAGTGGGGGTCCACAGCCTACTGTTCATGCTAGATAACAGCCAGAACACTCAGTTGTAACGACCCCAGTGGCTCCAACATCGGGGCAAGAAATCACCATTATAGGGGCCACCGGATGCCACAGTAGCCCTAAAAGATTTTGCCAAGCCTGCACTGTAGAGCTAGGGGGACATAGCGTCAGGCACGAGTTTCTCTACCTACCTGAGTGCCTCATTCCGCTATTGGGACGCGATCTACTCACAAAGCTCGGAGCGAGGGTCATCTTCCAGCCTTCCTGGGAAGCCCACCTGCAGGTACAGACCCCGAGCATCCTGGCTGTAGTCCTCCCGAGGGAGGAAGAGTACCGGCTTCACTCAGAGGATGCAGGGAGCCCAAGTGAGACGGAACCAGGACCGGGACTGAAGGCCCAGCTACGGGAAGAATACCCCGAGGTCTGGGCTGAAGGCAACCCACCCCGACAAGCTAAAACCCAGACCCCGGTAGTCATAGAACTCAAGCCTGGGACTAAGCCCGGTCACGTGTGGCAGTATCCCCTGTCCCGAGAGGCTCGTCTGGGGATTTCCGAGGTCATCCGCAGACACCTATGGGAGGAATACTAATCCCATGTCAGTCCCAGTGGAATATTCCTTTTCTGCCGGTCAAGAAGCCGGATGGGGGCGGGTACCGGCCCATCCAGGATCTGTGGGCCGTCAACGACACAGCTGTAACCCTCCACCCGGTCGTCCCGAATCCATACACCCTCCTGAGCCAGCTCCCCCCAACAGCAACGAGGTTTACCTGCCTTGATCTGAAGGATGCCTTCACCTGCATTCCTGTGGCACCTTCTAGCCAACCCATTTTTGCTTTCGAGTGGGAAGACCCGAACACTGTGGTCAAGACTCAATTGACCTGGACTGGACTGCCTCAGGGGTTTAAGAACTCCCTTTTATTTGGGGAAGTCCTAGCAAGAGACCTGAAGCCTTTCGCTGAAGGGGAGCCAGACCTGACGGTTCTACAGTATGTGGATGATCTCCTCCTGACGGCCTCATCCTAGTAATGGTGCTGGGAGGGAACGTGCAGGCTGCTGAAGTGCCTGGCTGAATTAGGGTATCGGGTGTCCTGGAAGAAGGCACAGGTCTGCCAGAAACAAGTAAAATACTTAGGGTTCCTCATCTCATGGGGAAAGAGGGCCCTGATCACGGAGAGGAAGGCTGTCATAGCCCGATTCCCTCCACCCAGCACTCAGCGGGAACTGCGGGAATTTCTTGGGGCGGCTGGATTTTGCTGGATATGGATGCCAGGATTTGCCACCATGGCAAGGCCCCTCTACCAGGCCCTGAAGGGTCAGATACCAAGCCCCTAGAATGGGGAGAAAATGATGAAAAAGCCTTCCAAAATGTCAAGGGGCACCTCAGTGATGTTCCTGCCCTAGGACTGCCAGATCCTGGGCGGCCATTTAATCTGTATACCCACAAGAGAGACAAGGTAGCCCTTGGGGTCCTGACCCAGCCTGTCAGACCATGGCAACACCCGGTGGCTTATCTGTCTAAGCAATTGGACAGTGTCACCACCCGCTGGCTGCCATGTCTGAGGGCAGTCGCTGCTGCCATGACTCTTGCAAGAGGCAAACAAGTTAACCCTAGGTCAAGAAATCAGTCTTCATGTACCACACGCAGTGAATAGCCTCCTTGCCCGGCAAGGGCATAAGTAAGTAGCTTTCGAACCCTAGACTGACTCAGTACCAGGGAATCCTCCAGGGGAACCTGAGGGTACAAGTTAAAACCATGAAACGAGTCAATCCAGCCCCCTATTTACCAGCAGAGCTTGGAGAGCTGGACCATGACTGCCTCAAAGTAACTAAAAAGGTCCACGCCAGCCCCTGGCCCAACCTGATGTAACCTACTTCACCAATAGGAACAGCTATATGGTTGGGGGCAGGAGAGTCGCCAGGTATGCGGTTGTGGATGACTGCAGAATAATAGAGGCCAAAGCTCTGCCAGCAGGATGGTCAGCACAGAGGGCCAAACTGTGGGGGCTAATAAGGGCTTTGGAGTTGAGCCAAGGCAGGAAAGTCAACATTTACACAGACTCTAAATATGCCTTTGCCACCCTCCACATTCATGGTGCGATATACCGAGAACAAGGGTTGTTGACAACAGAAAGAAAAGAAATAAAAAATAAACAAGAAATACTCCAGCTACTAGAAGTGGTATGGGCACCCGCTGAGGTGGCATCATGCACTGCAAAGGCCACTCTAAGCCTGATACCGCAGTAGCCCAGGAAAATCAGAAAGCAGATCAGGCTGCCAAGGTGGCAGTGCTTGGGGCAGATCAGGCAAAAATAACTGCTCCGTTGTTAGGCCCCATCCTGGACATTCAAGTTAGCCCAGAGGATTATGTTCCTGCAGAAGTAGAGTGTGCACCAGGCCTGGTATAAAAAGACCCCCGGAGGGGAGTGGAGGCTGCCAGATGGGAAAATGTACATACCACAATGGGCAAGCTAGCAATCTAGTAAGGCAGTGCCATGCTCTCACGCACATGGGCAAGACCTCCCTAGAAAATCTGCTGAAGAGGTATTTTTATTTCCCCAACCTGGCAGCACTTTGTGCTTCCGCCTCAGCACAATGCATAACATGTGCTCAGAATAACGCTGCTGGGTAACCAGGGATGAGGCCAGGAATACAACACACAGGCAGACAACCCTTTGAGGATCTACAAATAGATTTCACTGAAGTCAAGCCTAGCCGAGGGTTTAAATACCCCCTGATAATCATGTGCACCTTCTCTGGTTGGGTTGAGGCTTTCCCCACTAAGATGGAGAAAAGCCGGGAAGTCACCTGAGCACTACTGAGGGAAATCATCCCAAGGTATGGATTGCCTCTAACCATTGGAAATGATAACAGGCCAGCCTTGGTCTCACAAGTAACCAAAGAAACAGCCAAACTTCAGAACATCACGTGGAAACTGCACACCTCCTGTCGACCCCAGAGCTCTGGGAAAGTAGAGCGGATGAACTGGACTCTTAAAGAAACCTTAGCTAAGTTTCACCAAGAAACCGGACTGCCCTGGATGGACTTGCTACCGCTAGCTTTGCTTAGGGTTAGAAATGCTCCTAACCCTTCAGGATATACTCCATATGAACTAGTTTTTGGGAGACCTCCCCCAGTTCTCAGCATACGAAAAGGGGGGCTCCAGTTGCAAGGTGAATTAGGGCAGACAAAATATCTCTAGAAGCTAGGGGAAACTTTAGGGAAGATAGACAGGGCTGCTTTGGGCCAGGGACCCCCACCCCGAGGGGGGGCCAGCACACTCCCTTAAACCAGGAAGTTATGTATGGGTAAAGGACTGGAAAAAAGAACCACTTCAATCTGTGTGGACCTGGCTGAATTTGGTGTTACTAACCACCCTGACTGCCCTTAAAGTTACAGGAATCACCCTTTGGATCCACTACAGCCGGGCCAAAGCAGCAGCAGCAGCAGCAGCAGATTCTGAGGACCCGAAGACCAAGCCTGCACCCAGACTATCCATGCTGAGGCTCTGGAGGACACCAACCAGTGGAGAAAACACCAGGGGATGGACCATTGCTCTGCCGGGTTCCTGACTATAATCAACATCTTCACAGGAGTATTGGAAATTGGACTAGTGACTGTGACCCCGGCAGAATGGAGTCCCAGGGAGCGAGTCGCCCTAGGAGTAGTTTATCTCTGTTTAGTCTCTGTAGTTAGATATATTGTATGCTTTGTTTGACAAACACGGGGTCTATCTCAGCCCCAGTCTGTAAATGTAGTGCCCCTGAGCAAAGAACTAGGCTCGGCGGTGGAGTGATGACCTACCCCCTTCCAGCCATAGCTTTCACCTCCTCCACCTCCATGCCATCAGGTTGCATTCGGCCAAAGCCCCAATTCCTCTGTACTTGGGGAGGGAAATTATACCAGATTAGAATAATGGAAGGAACTATAGGATACTAGTCCCAAAAGTGTCAGGGACATGGACACCCTGGCCAACAAGTATGTTGGAACTATTACCGCCAGCTGAGTGCAATGAGCCAGAGAGAGTTTGAACAAGCTAAGAAAGAGGCTGCAAAAAAAATAACAAACTGGTTGGCTCAAGAAGCAGTCACCTACAAAGGGGCTAACCTCACAGCCTTTCAGGAGGCCTGGAGGAGGGTGAGCCCAGCAGTCCAAGTTCAGTACATGGTCCACGCCATGTATGCAGCATACCAGAATGTTACTAACTCCACAAGAGAATGCTGGGTATGTTTGCCTATAGAAGAAAAAGGGTTTCTAGGTGTTCCAGTACCCCCGAGGTGGAACAGGACTCATAAGCCCATAGACACAGGTCCTATTGTGATCCAAGGACCCGTAGCTACCATTGTCTTCCCAGATGCTAAGGGAATGAACTTAACCTGTTTGGTGGCAAACTGGACTGAAGAGCCAAGGAACGGTGTGGGAACACTCAACCCCCAGCTCTGCTCTGGTCAACATAATATTCCTAACAACAGCAGCCTTTGTACTGAACCTGGAATCTTCCTTCTCTGTGAGAAGGCAGCTTACAAGTGCCTGCCCCAGAATTGGACCGGGATCTGCATTGAAGTTTTCCTAGTCCCTAGCATCAGCATCCAGGTCCCTAATGAGTTTAGAAAACTACTGCAACCTAAAGTAAAGGAAGCCTCCCAGCATAAGAGAAGAGTACGGGCCGCCATAGCTATAGGGGCAAGCCTTGCAGTGGGGGTTGGGGCAGGAGTCAGGGCAATGGGATTGTCTGCATCCACTTACTACAAGCTGTCAGCTCAGCTGAGTGAAGACATGGACAATGCAGCTGATTCCCTGACCACCCTGCAGCAGCAGATAAACTCCTTGGCTGAGGTAACCCTTCAGAATCAGAGAGCTTTAGACCTCATTACTCCAGAGAAAGGTGGAACATGTACGTTCCTAGGAAAAGAATGTTGCTATTTTGTCAACCAATCCGGTATAGTAGCAAAAAAGGTAAAAGAATTAAAGGAGAACATTAGAATTCGGGCCAAAGAGCTAGAGGACTGGAATTTTGGATTCAATCCACAGACATGGCTAAGGTGGATATTGCCTGTTCTGGGGCCCATCCTCATAATTCTCCTAGGCATAACTCTGGGGCCCTGCATCCTCCGAACCTTGGTCTAACACCTGGAGGCCACGGCGATTCGGAAGGTGGCCGCCAAGGTGTTAGCACTCCAGCAGTACCAATACTGGTATCTGCAGTTACAACCTTCCCCATGATGTCAGCCGCATAGCCAGGTGTATAGTGATGCTAAAGGGATAAAAGCACCTTATAGCATCAAAGGGGGGAATGTGACAGGACATAGCTGAGCAGTAGCTATTCTTAGGTAGGAGCTGATCAGCAGCCATTCCCAGACAGCAGCCTTTCCCAGATAAGCAGTTATCTCAAGGTCATACACTAACCTTCGCTTTCTGCTTCTGTATGCTTGCTTTTAGCAGTTGTTCCTCCCCTTTTTGCCTTTATAACAAGAATATAAGCAAACTCCAGCTTAAGCTCGGTGCCCAGAATTTGGAATTTATCTCCTCTGGGTCCGCATGTGTGAATAAACCCCACTTTGCAAACTCCGAGGCTGTCTGAGTCGTCGTTTCCGTAACAATAATAGGGCCCTGTATGGGTGCCTCAGTTGTTGAGGTGTCTTTCCACACACCAAAAATTGCAGGTTGGATCCCCAGTGAGGGCATGTAACTAGGTGTGGGTTCAAAGTCTGATTTGGGCGCGTACAGGAGGCAATTGATCAATGTTTCTTTCTCACGTGGCTATTTCTCTGTCTCACTTCCTCTTTCGATAAAATTAATAAGCATGTTCTCTAGTGAAGATTCAAAAAGCAAAAGATACCAATAATATGTAAAACTGTATGTGAGGTGAAGGGGGTATTATATGAAGGCTCTCTATAGTATCTGTTCATTTTTTTTTGCAAATATAAAACTTTTCTAAAATATAAAGTTTATTAATTAAAAAATAAACTATGGTAAAAACTCATCAAATTGCACATTTTTAAATGGTACAATTAATTGCACATAATTAACTTCAATAATGTTGATTTTTTTCAAAAATAACTTTATAAATATAAAATACTTAAAAGTACACTTAACAGCAAAAAAACAACCTGTACACTAAATAAATGAAAACGTTGATATACAACTTAAATAAAATATATTAGGTTGGCCAAAAAGTTTGTTTGTTTTCTGTAAGATGGCTCTAATAGTGCTTAGTTGTCTTTAACTTTATTTGAAACAATTTTGTTAGTTTATATTGTGACAACCATCAAATAAGCATGCATTTAAAAAAATCAAAATTGGTGAATTTTTGTGTAGTCATTTTTAATATTAAAGATGAAAGAAAATATACATTTTTGGCATATTCAAGAAAGGTACAATGAAACTGAAATACCAAAAAAAAAGATTTGCGCAGTGTGTGGAGAAAGTGCTGTGACTCATCAAATGCGTCAAAAGTGGTTTGTGAGGTTTTGTGTTGGAAATTTCTCACTGGAAAATGCTTCACTGTCAGGTAGACCAGTTGAAGTTAATAGCAATCAAATCGAGACATTAATTGAGAACAATCAATGTTATACCATGTGGGAGAGAGCTGACATACTCAAAATATCCAAATCAATAAAGTTATTGGTTAAAAATGAAAAATGTCTTTTAATTCACAGAAAAAACAAACAAATGTACTTTTTGGCCAATGTAATAAATACATAGAGAAATATGCTATCCTTACAAATTAGAAGATTGAATATTGATAAACTACAAATTATCTCTAAATTAATCTATAGATTCAATGTGACTGTAATAATCCTAGCTTTTTTTTTAGAAATAGTCAAAAATTGAAAAATATGTGTGGAAATACAAAAAGAGATGTAAATGTTTGTATTAGGATATCCAAATAATCTTAAGTTAAAAAAAATTACAGGCATTCAAGGCTTAGTATATAATACTGCTATAATCAAGACAATGATTCTGGCATAAAGGTAGGCATATAGGTCAATAGAGCTGAAGACAGAACTCAGAAATAATTGTATGTTCAACTAATTCTCAATGAAGTTGCTAAAGCAATCTAGTGGGGAAATAAAAGTCTATTTAATAAATCATGTTGAAATACTTAGAGCTTGAAACCTACCATACACATAAAAAATTAATTTTAGATGGATCATAGATTTTAGCATTAAAAATACATTTTAAGGCTTTTTTTCTTGCTAGTTAAATTTTTATTTTATTTTTTCTTAAATTTATTGGGGGAACTTTGGTTAGATTTTTAAACTTCTAATATACAAAAAAAGACAATATCATCACAATTTGAAAGTATGCAAAGGTTTTTATAGAAGAGACACAGAAAGTCAAGACAATTAAAGAGGTGGGGGGAAGATAAATTAGATTTTATAAGTGCCTAAAAATTCTGCTTATCAAAAAGATACTAGGAAAATAAGCATATATATGAGAGACAGTATTTGTAAAGTGTATATCTAATATGGGATTTGAATCCACAATATGTACCTATATCTACCAGTATATATCTTACAAATCAGTAATAAAAAGTAAGAAAAACCCAAAATTTCAAAATGGGCAAAAGAATTGAATAGTCACTTCACAAAAAGAAGATATACAAATGGCCAAAAGGTCTTGAAATGGTTTCAACTACATTAGTCATTATGGAAATAACAACATTTATCAGAATTTCATAGCAAACAAAGAAAGAAAATCATACAACACTAGGGGATGAAAAAGATGCAGAGTAACCAGACCTCTTCTTCATTGTTTAGGAAAGTATAAAACAACTTGAAAAAGTTCTGGCAGTTTTCTATGAACTTAAACATGTACTTACCCTATAAGGTAGTAATTTCGCTTACAGATATTTACTTGAGGTAAAGGAACACATGTTCACCAAAAAACTTTTACAAGAATATCCTTAGCAGCTTTATATCTGAGAAGCTGAAAAATGGGAACAATTCAGGTGTTCATTAGTAGGAGAATAGAAAAACATAATGCTATATTTTAATACAATTTAATATTACTCAGCAAAAAAAGAAAGCACAACACATAAGTATATAAATGAATCTCAAAAATATTGTGCTAATGAAAGAAGCTTTACTCAACATGCACACACTATATAATTTTACTTTTATAAATTTGGAGAATGAGCTAAACTAATTTTTATGCATATATCAAAATTATTAAACAGCACAATTATGGTTTGTACATCTCATTACATATAAATTTGCCAAAACAAACAAACATAGACACATATTGAATTCTTGTTAGTAATATGAATGTTGGAGTGTTTTGGGATAAAATGTACTAATAGCTGTAATTTACTTTGAAATGCTTCAAAAAATTGAATTCACAGATGAGTAAAGGAATAGATGGATATACGAGTATATGATAAAGCAACCATAACCAAATGTTAATGTAGAACCTAGGAGGTTAAAGGAACAATTCTTTCAACTTTGCAGTATGTTTGAAAATTTTCATAATGAAATAATGGGAAAAATATAGGGAGTCAAAAAACTGACCCATGCAAATATGGACAGTACTAATTGCAATGATTACATTGTAGAACAATATCTTTTCAACAAAAGGTGATGGGTCAGTTGGAGATCATAAAAATGCAATGACCCACAATTTATACTGTAAATGGGAAACTAAATCTATGTGTATTATAGATCCAAGCATCAAATTTAAAACATAAATCTTCTAGAAGATAGTAGAGGGGGATATTTGCATGATCACAGGGTAGGTAAGGGTAAAGATAAAGATCTCAAGGTGGGTGTCCCAATAGACTAGGTACTAAATCACTAACCATCAAGAAAAAAACTTGCTATATTGGGTTATATTACTGAAAACTGAAAGAGAACATTAAACAAGTGAAAAATGCAAGCCAGAATACACAAAAGATATTTGTAAGAAACATAACCACAAAGGACTCATATCCAGAATACGTTAAAAATTTATTCTAATTATTAGAAAAAAGAGAATTCAGAAAAATGACATGTCACAAAGTAAGATATTTTAAATTAACCAACCAGTGAAACTGTAATCCCAGAAATTCCAATTAAAACTACAAGGAGGTTCCACTATACTTCTATCAGAATGACCAAAATTAAAAAGACTTTACTGGAATTTACTAAATATTAATACAGATATGAAATTATGAGAACTTTCATATACTCATGATGCTAATGTAAGTATGAATATTTATTGGGGGTGGGGAAGTTTGGCATATTCCACTTAATTTGAATATACTTATTTCTTATAGCTAGAAATTTCACTGCTAGGCATATACCCATCAAAAATGAATGGGCATATACTCCAAAAGATACATATAAGATATTTATAGCAATATTAATTCAAAGGTGTCAAAGGTAAAATGAACTAAAAGTGGCATATCCATGCATTGGAACACCTTATAAAATGAAAATGAAGGAATCACCAGACCATGCATCCACAACATGGATCTCACACATAAAACCTTGAGCAAAAAGAGCCTAGCACAAAATAACGCGTACTTTGTGTTTGAATAGGAATAGACTTCAAAAATCCTTATATCTCCTCTACCATGATTAGAATATTTGTTAAACAGGTAAGAGTATAAGTAAAAACCTAGGAAATGTTTCTCATAAAACATGAAATCAAAAAAGTACTTATGTTTGTGGATGGAAGAGGTAATGTGGGGAAGGCAAAGGGTGGCTACAGGAGTTGTGGCAATATTCTACATTTGACCTGGGTGTTGTTTTGTGATGACTCAATGAATTATGCATATTTGTCCACTTTTCTGTCTATTGTGATGTTTCATAATAAAAAGCAAGTTTTGAAAGAATAATATTGAATAAAAGACATAGCTGATATATAAAGGAACTTGGAGCACTGCCTAAGAAGGCAATCTCTGGGGACAATTCAGGGGTTCAAATCTTAGTTTCTCCACTTACTTGCTGTGTGATTTAGGGCAAGTTTAATTTATTTTGGCTTTAATTTCCTATTTGTACAAAGGAACTGTAATTGTAGCTACAATATAGCTTGAGCTTTAAATGAGTTAAGCCATGTAAAAGTGATTAAAATAATTCTGATATATAGGTATTATTGATGTTAACATTGTCAATTGTCATCATCTTCATCATCATTAACCATCA